CCATTCTATCACATATCAGAGTCCACTCTATTGAAAACACAGTAGGACCTTGAGAAGAGTACCCAGAGTGCCGAGCACATCACGGAGTCTCCAGGCTGGTCCTGATGGCCCCTGGTTTTTTTTACACTGAGGTCACACAGAAGGACTCCTTGCCTTGGGCACACCATGGTCATGGTAAGTTCATTTGCTGTGAAGGCAACTCAGAAAGGCCTCTGCAAACATTCTTTTAAGTTTATTTTTGCCAGCTTGAGAATGGGTCTTAGGAACACACTCATGCCTGAGTTTCTGTGACATTTTCAATATGAGCCCTTTACATGGTACTTGGTCGTTTTCTGAGTGTGTAAAGGCCAAACCAACCTTGACGTCACCAAGACTGCTGCCGCCATGGAAGTGCTCAAACTCTTGACCTTCCTGTTGGCACATCCTCTTGTCAGGCTCCCATCATGCATTGTGCCCACCCAGGTAAAATGCCCTTCCCCGTCTCCTCAGAAAGTTCTGTCTCCCCCACACCCTCTGCTTCTTCCATGTGGACTACAATTCCTCCAAGTTGACACTCCCAAAATCCCTGGTGCTGCCTGTGTTCTGTACCAAGCCCCACATCACCACTCTGGGCCCTGCAAGTCCACAGGTGCCATGCACCATACTGTAACTACCAGTTCACCATTGGCAAGCCACAGAACTGAAACTCTAACAGGGACTCATCCATCTTCTTCACTATTGTGTCCTGATGTCTGGCAAACTGCCTACGCCTAACAGTGCTTTATAAATATTTAAAGAATGAACACATGACTAATTTGACAGTAAGCAAACTGTAAAAAGTGCTTATAACTGCCTTGTAATATGATTCTCAGTTCAGACTAAAACAGTATGAGAATAACGTCTCATGAAGTATTTTTAATATGAGATAATTGCAAAGTCAATCAGAATAGACCCTCTCTTGATTTAAGCCAAGTTTTTTTCTGTTGGTTTAATAGAGTTGGCTAAATAGAAGCTCACATAAGTGCTTATTAATTATACTAATCAGCAAATGGTTGTATTAAAATATATGAGCTTTGTGGAACCCAGTTATAGTTGGAAGTGTCAATATGTATATAGTAAGCACGTGAAGAGTGAGGGAGTGTCACAAAGAGGTAGTTTTTGTTGTAACCACCAGTTACTTGTGGGGGTCCCATGGTCAACATCCGGATACAGCAGCTTTTGGGGATATGAATGAGGAAGGGGGGATGATATGCTTTGGAGGATTTTTATTTTCTACTACTTAAAAATATTTGATTCATTTTTATTTTATGTGTATGAGTGTTTGCCTGCCTGCATGTGTGTACATTATGTGCTTGCAGTGCTTGCAGAGTCCAGAAGGGGCGCCAGATCCTCTGAAGCCTGAGTTACCGGTGGTTGTTAAGGACCAAGTGGGTGCTGGGAACAAAACCTGGGTTCTCTGCGAGAGCAGCAAGTACTTAGCCACTGAGCCATCTCTCCAGCCCTATTCTCCCCCTCTTAACAGTGTATAACGGAGAAGTGTTTGAGCTACCTCAAAACTGGGAGCAAGGAAGTTAAGTCTGAGATTAGCCTGGATTTTCCTGGAGACTTCAGCTGTGATCTTGATTTACCTAACCAGTGTGATGGTGTCTTCTGACCCAGAAATTACACTCTATGGTAGAAGAGGATCTGTGATGATGATCTGTGTTAGCTTACTAGACTCTATTGGTGGAGCTCCCTGATGAAGAAAGTCACAAGAGATCTTCTGATGTCTTCTTGGCATTCTATTTTAGTGTACAAAGAACTCTGTGTGCATTGTGTTCTTAGAGCATTTGTTTCAATAGTCCTGGAGTTTCATATTTCAGCTCCAAGGTTACTTCCATAAAAAAAAATTTCCCCAAACTCCTCAGTATCTGTAATGTCCTTCAACATTTGGGAAGAGGACTTGATGAATCTGGCAAATCCTTCCAACCTTTAGAACTCAAACTAAGGACGGGTGTTGTATCTTGTTATGTTCCTGTGCATCCATCCCCGGGGTCTGTTACATAAAAATGTAGAGAGGTTCTCAAAGACAACTAGCTACCCGGTAAATGCTCACTCTCCCCTCTCCTCCGCGTGCGTGGGTGCGTGCGTGCGTGCGTGTGTGTGTGTGTGTGTGTGTGTGTGTGTGTGTGTGTGTGTGTGTGTTTGAGACTGGGTCTTACTATGAGGCAAAGGCTACCCTGGTACTCACTTATGTAGACCAGGTCGGCTCCAAAACTTGAGATTCTCCTGCCTCAGTCTTCTAAGTGCTGGGACTACTGCTACTCACCTGGCTAGATGCCACTTCTCCCTCAGGAAAGCTGTGGAGTCTAGCAACTTCCTGCCTCTGCTGGATGGCTGGTCCTTCCAATAAAGTGACACTCAGTAGCTACACAGTCAAGGTGGGAAGTGGCCATCCCAGTGAGCAAGTTAAGTCTGAGATTAACCTGGGTTTTCCTGGAGGCTTCAGCTGCGATCTTGATTTACCTAACCAGTGTGATGGTATCTTCTGACCCAGCAATTACACTCCATGGTAGAAGAGAATCTGTGAAGACTAGCTATGTCAACTTGATCTAATCTAGAATTGGCTGGGAAGGGATTCTCCATGAGGGACTAGATCAGGTTGGCTTGAAGGTAAGTCTTTGGGGGAACTGTCTTCATTATCTTAATTAATGTGGGAAGACCCAGCCTAAAAATTTCCTGGGTTTGGATCCTGGACTGTATAAGTGTAGAGAGAGGGGTGAGCACATGCATGAATTTTGTCTGTGATATGACCAGTCGCTTGAATTTCCTGCCTTGACTTCCCTGCATTGATGGACTGATGTGAGACAAATAAACCTTAATCTCTTCAAGTGAAAGCATTTTATCACAGCAGCAGAGAGGAAACCAGGACAGGACCTGAATAATACATCATAAAGCGTGTGTAGCAGCACCAATCACAGCAGAAAGTGTGAACAACACAAACCAGATGACTATTGGCCAAGCAACACAGACTATCTACGTATGATACACGTTACTTTACCATACAAATAAATGAGGTGTTGACCACAGTTACAATGTGGATGAATGCCCAAATCGGATGCTTTATGGCAGAAATCAGACACAGACCCTCAAGTTTTATGATTCCTCCCTGAGCTGGGGATGCAGTGTGGTTGGCTGAGTAGACACCTGTACGATTCTGTTGATGTAAAATATCATGTATATAAGATATCATGGAGGTAAACAATACATTTTAGTTGTCAAGAATTTGGAAGCACAGGTGTTGTGTGATATTATTCCTGCGGAGATGTGGACAAACATCTACTTGCCTCAGACAAGTAACTAACAACAGACCAAAATAAGAATGCCACTAAAGTCTAACTGTGAACCAATGAGTTTTACTGGGTCACTTACAGAGGCAGAAACGACTCAAAGACAGCTGCATTACCAAGGCCCACTTCAGCACAAGTGACAACTTTCAAACCCGTGACCGGGAGCACACTGCACGGCCTGCAGGTACCTTGGATGGCCAGTGTCCTTTCCAGGTATCTCTGCTGGTCTCTGTCTGTTTCAGGCAGCTCAGCATGGGCATAGTGAATCTGGTCCATTTCTGGGACTTCCTGAGAGCTTAGTGAACTTCCCTCAGGATGGAATGTTTCACCTTATCTTAGAACATCCTGAATGATAAGGAGCTTTCCTACAAGATGGAGACTTATCTAGGGGGAATTTGCTACACAATAGAAGGGTGTTGGGGGTTTTGATATGATATGTCCACGCAGGCTCATGAGTTTGAACACTTGGTCCCCGGATGGTGGCCCTGTTTGGGAAAGTTGTGGAACCTTCAGGAGGTGGAGCTTTGCTGAAGTGGGATACTGGGGGCACGGTGGGGGGTGGGCCTTGAGGCCTTACAGCTGGGCTCCATTTCCTGTCTGGACACTGTGTCCTGACTATTGACACAATGGGAACAGCCGGTGCCACCCCATGACACACTGTATCGCTTTGAGCTGGAAGCCAGACTAAGTCCTTCCTTCCCTAAACCAGGTCTTGTCAGACCATGTGGAAAGTGAAGACAAGGGCAAGCACGATATCTGCCTCGGGTACTGGGTGGGGTTTTGCTGTGAGGAGAATGTTCTAGAAGTAGGTGCTAGCTGTTTAGCCTTGTTAAAGGGCAAAATTCGTGGGTTTGTTTTTCAGATATGAAACATATATCTCAATCTTTTAAAGTTCGTGGGATGCAGACTTACTGGCTTATTAGCATATGTCCTAATTGACTCGTTATTCTTACTGTAACTGCAAAAATGCTATACCTGTTAGTAAGTATATTTGCTTACTGTTCTTCTTGGTAAAGACATGCTTGATGATCCCTGAGAGAGGGCCAGTGAGATGGTCCAGTGGGCAAAGAGGCTTGCAGCCAAGTACTTGTTCCAAGTACAATCCCTGGAACCCATATAGTAGAAGAAGAGAACTGAATCTTGTAAGCAGTCCTCTGACCCTCACCTGTGCTATGCACACCCCTACATGCAAATAAGTAAAAATGTAAAAAAAAAAAAAAGAAAGAAAATATCTTCAAGAAGCATTTACTATGAAAACCCCCGAAGCAGATTTCACATGAGCTGGATCACTGGCCCCTCTGAAAGCTTCGTTTTCCTGTGTCTGAGCGAGCGCACGGGTGTACCACAATGGGCATGCAGGGGTTGAAGGCCAGTTCCAGGTTCCTTCCGCCTAGTTTGAGGCACCCTCCTGCTGTAGTCCCAGCACTCCCGTGGTGAGATGGGAGGTAGAAAGAGGAAAATCTCCCAGAATCCCAGGCCAGCTAACCCGGGCACAGCAGACCCTGCCTTAAACACGTGTGAGCCTCTGGGTTCAATGACAAACTAACCAAAAGCTTCTGTACTGATCCCAGCATGCACCAGGGTGGGAGCACCGGTCTGTAACAGTCAAACTAGGTCATTCTTGTCTATAAAGTAAACATGGCATTTTTGCTTGAAAAGTTGTTTTAATGAATTAGAAAAAGATACAGTGAGTTGAAAATATCAAATTTATTTATGAAGTACAAGAGACGGGAATGCACCTGAATTCTCTGAAAATCAACATAAAAACGTGCACCTCAGCCCACCTGCCTCAGCATCACTCCTGACTCAGTGGCAGCAGAGAGACTTCTGGCTCTTGATTTGAGGGGCCTCAGCTTGAAAGAGCATGCCACTAGGCAGCAGCTGAGTCAGCACTGTGGCTGGGGGCACCCACGGTTTCTCCTGGCTCACTTGCTTACCCCCAAAGCTCTCCAACAGCTATTTGCACCTTAAAGTCTCCCCCAACCTTCACTAAGGCTTACCCCTAGGGACAATGTACTGACACGTGAAGAATGAAAAAAAAATACTCTTCAGTTTTGAAGGAACTAATATCTAAACCCGAAATGATCAAAAGTGACTTCTTTCTCTTGAAAACAAAACAAACACAGCACCCAAATGTCTTTGTCTGTTTGAAAGATGTGCTAATAAACTTGAAAATGAAAAAATTAAGTCATTGCCTTTTTGTCCCCACAGCAATGGGGACCTCGAAAGCGCTAAAGCTCCCAGGTCTTTGGGCAGTGGCATCAGTTGTGCTCCAGCAAAATGACTAGGCTACTAGATAGGATCTGAGCTCCCCCTGGAAGACTGGGGGCTCTGCAGAGCCTCGCTGGCTGCTTGGCTGCTGCCACTCAGCTTGCCTAGGTAATTGTTGATGACACTAAGTTCCTGGATCACCAGGCTCAGGTCTTCATGAAGTCTGAGCACAGCACCCCTCACCTCAACTAGAAGCGTGCGGATAGAACCTGACTCGGGGGATTCCCTGGGCAAGCCTTCCCTTGTCTGCAAACTAGCCTGGGACACTGAGGGGAAGTAGGTCCTTGTTGGGGTGGAGAATGCTACCTGATGACAGCTGGGAAAGTGACCTGGCTTCTCCATAACCGAATTGGAGTTATCTGGAATACTGGGATATTCCTCGTCATCTGAAGATGCCGTGCTCCTGGGAACAAAGGGGTGGCGAACCCTGGCTGCCTCGTCTTTGTATGTGAAGGGGGCAGAAGATGGCTTTTGATGGGGCTGAATCCAGAAGGAAGGGCTGGTGAAAACCAGGGGAAAGTGATGGGCTGACTTCTTTGGATGGACCAAGTCAGGAGACGACACAGACAACGTAGAAAAAGAAGATGCGACCTCAGAGGCAGTGGAGACTAAAATAGAATGGAGAGAAAGGTATTTATATAACATACAAATAAGAGTAATACCTACAATAATCGTGTCAAGTAAATACCTATCTGGAAGGCCTCAATATAAACCAGTCTGATTTTTAAAAGTTAGAAATTCAAAACCTGAAAAACCTGACATAGGAAACAGGCAAATCTACAGATATATTATCTATCAATAATGCCATGGAAATGAACCTAAAATAAAATGATCAATATTCATCATGACTTCCAAATCCTGCCCAGCATATTTTACACTATTGTAGGTCTTGTCTATGGAGGAATGTCTTAACTCTTCTGCCTGCCAGTGTTTTATGTAGGCATTTAAAGTAGGAAGGCTGAGTAAGTCCTAACTCAGTCTTTCACCTTTTCCCACATACAGATATTATTGTAACAACATAAACTCCAGTGACTCCAGTATCATGAACTTTTTCCTCTCCTTGGTCAAATACAATTAAGACTAAGTCCCACCCAGATCAGATTCAGAGCACTGCAGCACACACAGACCCGATTGTCTCTCACAAAAAAAGCACTTGAAACCCATTTCTTAAAATTAAAGGCTTGAGAATAACTTCATTTCCTTTCAGGCAGAATCATATTGTCTTCTCCTATCTACTTCACTCTAGTTTTCCAAACTGTCATGGGTGTGTTCCTTAAGATATAGTAGATGCCTTTCCTGGATGGAGATGGAAGAGGAGGGGACGGGGGTGGGAGGGGGAATGGGGGAGAGGGACTGAGGGGGAGGATGTGGGGGGAGGCTGAGGCCGGGATGTAAAATAAATAGATGAATACATATAAATTAAGACAAAAGACAGCAGATGCTGGGGCTGGAGGGATGGCTCAGTGGTTAAGAGCACTGGCTGATCTTACAGAGGACCTGGATTGGGTTCCCAGCACCCACATGCAGCACCGGCAACAATCAGTAATTTTGGTTCCAGGTACCTGACACTCTCTTCTGACCTCTGTGAGCACCAGGCATACATGTGGTGCATGTACATACATGCAGGCAGAACACCTACACAAGTGAAATAAAGGAATCTTAAAAAACAAAGGAACAAAATAACAGGGATTCGGCCATGTAAGCCTGGTCGCTGCACATTTCCCTCCCATTAGGAGATTGATTGTGTGCACCAGCACATTTAAAGTGATGAGAAATCCACAGCACTTTCTTTGACAGGGTCTCATGTAGTCCAGGTTGGCCCCAAACTCACTATGGAGCCAAGGATGACCTTGAACTCCAGATCCTCATGCTGGGGTTACAGGTGTGTCACGACTCTAGGTTCATGCGGCACTGGATGAAATCAGGGCTTCATGCCTGCCAGGCAAGCCCTCTACCCACTGAGCTACCCCACCAACCCTAACATGTTTTATCCCAGTGTTTCCCATACTTTTTTGGACACAGGACTTTTTTTTTCTTTTGGAATACCTACTTGGATTTATTTTGGGATATACGGCACAAATTGGTGAGATCTAGTCCTTGGGTGTCTGATTCGCTCTGAACTTGTTACTTTAAAGATTTACTCGGCCAGGCACACAGCAGGGAAACTGAAGCCTGCCACTCAGCACTCAGGGTTTTGCTTTGTTGGTAGATTTTACTACATATTCATGTCCCTTCTGAACTAAACTGGAACTCATAAAATTGGCCAGGGCAAGTGGCCACACTCTATTTTTTGCCTCTAAGCTCTTCAGGGCCTATCTCCAGTTCTCAGGGAAAGTTCCAATCACAAAACTTGTCTTTGGATGCCAAGAGTACTCTCAGCTGGTGTGGCTACAGGAATGAAAGGAAAGCAGGGACTCAGCTGCGCATGGTCAAGGCCGAGGGAGCTCACTGGGAGAATCTGGGTCAGGCTAATCCGGTTGCTCCCTCTGTCCTGGGGCTGGGAGGGCGGTGCCATGTGGATGACAACAGCCATGTGCTCACACGCCCTGTGCTGGATCCCAGCTGTCATCTGCATCCTTCCTGTCCCATCCTGCGCTGGTTCTCTGCTCTCTAGCCTCCATGTCCCCCCTTCCTGTTTTGCTGCCATTCGGGAGTAGCGTAATCACCAGCAGGTCAATGACAGGGAGGCCCAAGATGTGAAGGCATTGGACTATCCATGTCTGAAAAAGTTCTTTCTACCCTCAGGTTTAGTGATAGTTTTCATGAAGAATTCTAGGTAGAAAGTCTTTTTCTTTGGACTTTAAAAAATATCTTAGTGTGTATACACACACACACACACACACACACACACACACACACACACACACACACACACACGAGGAAGTCAGAGGACAATGGGCATCGGTTCTCACCTTTCCACCTCATTTGAGGCAGGGTCCCTTGTTCACAGCTGTGTATACCAGGCTAGCCGGCCTGAGAGATTCTGGGGAGTCTCCTGTCTCTGCCCCTTATCAGATGCTCACTACCATGCCCGGCCTATGTGACTTCCGTGGATCCAAACACAGGTCTCCATGAAAGCATGGCATTTGCTTGACCAGTGAGTCTTGAAGACCATCTTCCACTACCTTCCTGTTTCCAGGATTATGAGTGCTAAGTCATAGCCATTCTACTTAAGAAAGAGAAAGATGCATTTATTTTCATCTTAAGTGCATGGGTGCTTTGCCTGTGTGCATGTCTGTGTCCCAGGTGCATACCTGGTGTCTGTGGAGGCCTGGAGACAGCATCCACCACTTGGAACTGGAGTTATGCATGGTTGGGAGCCACCATGTGGGTGCTGGGAATTAAACCCAGGTCCTCTGGAAGAGCAGCCAGTGCGCTGAACTGATGAGCCCTCTCCCCAGCCCTGCTGTTCTAATTCTTACTCATGGCACAGAGCCCGCTGCACCTCTGAGGTATTAGCAAATTTCCTCTTCATCCCCATGCTCTGGAATCCTCAATGCTGTTCACTGAAGCAGGGTAATTTTCACTGACTGAGGTGAAGTGAAAGCGAGTTTTAATCAGGCAACTCATTTCCTTCAGGTTCAAGCATTGTCTCAAGGCTTCCATCAGTGAGCTGTGGCCTCTGGTGTTCCTGCTCTCCTACCTTTATGTGGTTCAGGGACTTGACCTCTGGTTGTCAGATTTTCAGTGTCTACCCACTGAGCCACCTTGTTAGCTTCCTTCCTATTTTTCCTTCCCCTTTCTGTCACTAACCTTGTCTCTTTGTCCTACTTCTTGGAGGTTTCGTCAGCTTTAGCTTCCAATCCTTATGGTGAATTTCTTGTTTCTGCTGGCTGTTTTTAATTTTTGAAGAGGGTTCTGTTGTTCTCAGAAATTCTCAAAAACAGCCTGCTCTTGTTTTATGGGCACATCATATTTTCTTATCTTTTGGAGATCTTAAAGATACATTTTAAAAGTATTTTCTTTTCCCCTCACAGCATAATTACCTCCATGTGTTTCCACACTGTTCCATATGAGAGGCCCTTCCAGAAGGCTCTTATTCCGTGTCTGCTTGTGCTAAGAACAGAGGGTGAAAGCTGATGGGAGCTTTCAAAGTGAGCACGAGGCACCGACTTTGAGGCCCAGGGAATGGCCGCTGCCCGGACGAGTTGTTTGCCTGGAACTACAGACACCAGTGAAGCAGTTGCTCCTTCTGAGGCAGGCTGGCTGCTCCCATTTGCTGCCCTGGGAGGAGAGGCCTGGCTACCAGCCTTCAGCAGGCATCAGGGGAAGGGTGCCAGCATCTGGCTTGCTCTGCCCACTCACTCCTACATTTGTTCTGGCTACAGTCCACACAACCTGACTACCTCTTGGAGCTACCATTTCAGAGACCCACCAACTACTCTTTCCAGATTTCCAGACCCCGTCCCCACCCTGGGAGTTATAGGCAACTGATTACCTCAAGGTGAAATCCAAGGATAGAATTCATTTTTATTTTATTCTTTTATATGATGATGCTGATGCTGATAGTGGTGTTTTTGTTTATACTTTTTAAAGATAGAATTCATTTTATTTTATTCTTTTATATGACGATGATAGTGGTGTTTTTGTTTATACTTTTTAAAGATAGGGTCTCTCTATGCATCCCTGGCTATCCTGGAACTAACTATGTACATCAGACTGACCTCAAACTCACAGACATCTACCTGTGCTGTGGGTGCTGAGATGATTAGAACCCATTTTAAAATAGCTACTTCCTAGTTCTCTTTAGCACATGTCTTGGTTTACATGTGGTTTGTCCTCACATCTTCATGTGTTGGAAGTATGCTTCTCAATGTTTCCATGAGAGGTGGTGGCCTCTTTAAGAGGCTGGATCTGGTAGGAGGTAACCAGGTCATTGGGAATACTGCCCTTGGAAAGGACTGTTGACTTTCTTACAGAACTCAGGTTAGTGCCTGTGAAAGTGACTTATTATAAAGTGTAAGCCTGACCCTCAAATCCTTCTCTCGCTTATCATGTGATCTTTCTCTCTCATACCATGCTATCACTCACCAGATGTGGTCAGATGCTCTTAGACATTCAAAACTTTGAGCTAAGTAAGCCTCTTTTTATTTACTAAGTATCTAGCCTCCAGTATTGTGTTACAATAACAGAACATTGACTAATATACCACTTGATGTGGAATAGGTTTTATAACCTCATTTTAAACATGACAAAAAGGAATTCAGTGGCTAGAAATCTTACCCAGATCACAAAGTTAAAGAGAGCTTGGAGAGGGAGTCAAATTCAAGTAACTCTGATGTTACAGACATGAACTTAACCAGCACACCGAACTACCACACCACACCCCTGTGCTGGAACAAGTTTCACTCTATTACAGAGTTATGTTAAATTCTGGGTATAAAATTATAAAAAATAATCAACATGGTGAAGGGACATGGCATCCATAGGAATAGTTGACAGATATGCTGATCTTTTTTTTTTTTAGATTTAATTTATTATGTATGTATACAGTGCTCTGCCTGCAGGTCAGAAGAGGGCATCAGATCTCATTATAGATGGTTGTGAGACGTCATGTGGTTGCTGGGAGTTGAACTCAGGTCCTCTGGAAGAACAGCCAGTGCTCTTA